TAGAAAGGAATTTTAAAGAACAGTTAATTCAGTTGAAAAGAGAATTATACAAAGTTTAGGCAGGTTGTAGGAGACAGTATGTGCCAGATAGCTACAAATATGATTGAGAAGGGCAGGAGATACCCAAAGCAGTGATGACTCAGAATAGGGCTTTGAGGAAGAAATCAGGATTTCTTAACTCTGGGAAGGCTTCAGAAAGATGAAGGCAAAACAATTTTGAGAGGAAAAAATAAGGATTGGGATGAGGGAGGCAATGAATGTAATTAATCTTCCAATTAGGGTCAGATCGGTCACTGAAGCGTTATTAAGATGATGCCAGCTGAGGCCATTGGTCACTAGGCCAGGACCCATTGCCTGGGGTTTTCAGCACTGATTTCATTGATTTTTGAATGGTAGGGATACTGGGCATCATAAGTCGACTTCTATCATTCTGCCAATAAGGAAACCAAGTTCAGCAGTGGTTGAGTGACTAATTTAAAGACTGTGTGATTCCAAACAGGAATAACTGTACAAGCAGTTATTTCAGGGCTAAAGCTGGGTATCCTGGCTCTAACCAGTATCCTTACCTTCAGGCCTTGCTACCCAGTAAGGAGGAAAAGGCAGCAAAGAAAAAAAATGTCATGTGTACTCTCTATTCCTTATTTGGCCAATATGAAAAATGTGGATGATGCAAGAGATATCATAAAATATACTTCATAGTTTAATCTCTAGAGTCAGACTGATCACAGTTAAGTCCTGGCTCTGCTTTGTGACAAGTTACTTACCCTTACTGTGCCTCAGTTATCTCATCTGTGAAATGGAAATAATAATAGTAATCTGACCATAAGGTTGTTAGGAGGATACAGTGAGCAGTATAGGTAAACACTTTTAGAATGAGAGTCACATTCTTTTCCCCCATATGCCTATTCTGATTAATCACTGCTTTGGGTACCTCTGTCCTTCTAAATCAACTTATGGCTTACTAAGTGTGTTCAAATACTATATCTGAACATACGTGTTTGTGGGTTACACTATTTATTTAGAAATCAGAAATTCCTTGGACTTTTATATTGGGTGAAGTGCATGAGAGCCTTGTGAAGAAAATTATGTAGGAAGAGTAGGTATTATTGTTAAGGCAATAATAGCAATTCTGAGGAGTTCACAGTGCAGCTGGGGTTCTCTAGAAATTTCTACGAAGCCTTTTTCCTCTTGTAAGACTTTTTTTGTTTTAACTTTTTGTGCACTCATCATGTCCTACTTCCTCAATGCTATGTCGTACCTCCTCCCTTCACCTTACCTGATGCTTATGTGGCCCTTGGACTCAGTTTAATAACCACCGACCTGATCTCCTAAAGCATCAAATGCCACTACCTCCAAGTTTCCCCTAGGTAGTCAGCTTGAATATCAAAATGTTATCCTGTGGCATCTCTACTGTCAGTGTTCTGGTGAAGAATAGATAAAGATAGTCTCTTGATGCTTCATAGCCAGAAATGAAATGGCAGTAAAATCTATATCTGTCATTGGCATTTCTTCCTGTGTACAAACCCACTGACTATTTTGGCTTAACAATTCTATCAGCATTTGGAATCCTGAAGCTCTGCTGTGAGAATAGTAACTACAAGGTTAGAAACAAAATGGGTGTAATTCAGACCTCGAGGTAACCCTGAAGTGAGGGTAAGTAGCAAGAGTCAGCAAGGTGGGCAGGGAAAGAAATTGGATATACTGCCGACCCCAGTTTTTCAAAATTCTACAATTCCATCTTTTTCCTCCCATTTTTAGCCTCTTGGGGCTGATTCTATTTGTATTGCTGCTCAAAACATGCTCAGAACTAATGACTTTTTTCATCTTTCTAGTCAGTGTACTTGGTAATGCTGAATACTCAGAGAGAGCAATAGAGTGTTCTACACCATGTTTATTATTCAAGTGCACCTTCTGGGACTTTCTGGGACTTCTCATCACCAGATTCCTGACCTTCTTTTCAATCTGTCTGGCAAGTACTCAACTTGCATAATTTCTTTTAGTCAGTAATGGAAAACTGAAACTTGCAATTAACTCTCAAGTAAGAATTATATAACTATGTATGTATATATATATATATATATATACATCCTGCAAAGTGATCCTAAAAGACGTTTCAGTGAGAACTGATTTTTTTTTTCATTAACTGTCTCTTATGATACCAATTTGCTCCTTTCTTCTTCTGGAAGAATGCAAATTAAATCCACTCTGTTAATAGCAATTTCTGGATATTAAGAAGGACCTGGTCATATTGTTTTTTCAGCTTCTGCTCAGAAATAAACTGTAGAGGATATAGCATCAAATTCTTAGCTTGACATTCAAAGCCTTCCACAGAAGGCTCCAACTTTCCATCCTAGCCTATTTCCTCCAAGCTTCTTACTCCACCCAAATTGACGGGCATTTTCAGGGTTTGCTAACTGTAGAGTGGGCTTGCCTAATGTGATGTTTTGCATATGCTGTGACTTCAACTTAGCAGAATTCTCCCACCTCTCTGCAAGCTCCAAAAGCCACCTCAAGGCCTGCCTCTTCTCTCAGGTGGTCCCACTCTACTGTGATATTGCCCTCTTGAATTTATGTTCCCTATTTTTGGTCACATTCACTTGGAAATTAATCACATATATCATAATAATTTTTCTTCTCATGTTTTATTGCATTTTCATTCTGGTTTTATTTATTAACTTATTGTTTATTGCTTTTATTAAGATTGCTAGATACTAAACTTATTAAGGTCAAGGCAAAACCATGAGATTTTATATCTCCCATGGGATTCATTTATTTATCTGGTGCATACAAGTTGATCAATATCTTTCTATCCGGTTGGTCCTTGCTGACAAGGGATGACATTGCAGAAATGTTTCTAGTGCTGAGGCTTAAAACATGGATTTTTCCTTCCTTTATAGAATTGTAAAGCAGTCCCATAATGTGAGAAACATTGTTTATTCACAGTGCATTATCTAAAAAGCAGATTATCTGTTTTTCTTCTTCATGTCTCCTCTCTCAACCTCTTACTCAAATTCTTTTTCTCATTTTTACTCATTGTCAAAACCTACGCTGTTAGGCTGAAGGCTGACTGCTACGCAGCTTCTAGGTGTCACAGGCAGAGATATGTCTTTCAGCTGATAACACTCACTCAAGGGTTAACATTTAGAGCTTAGGAATGTCTTTAGACAAGCTAATTAAGGGGTAGTTTGTATTGTGTTTGTGCATGTGTGGTCGTGCGTGTTTAACAAAGTAAAATAAAATTGTAAATTTTGGGGAGATTTTGCCATGAAGAGGTTAAGAGGATTGTAAGTTGTTTTGTAATTTGAACGTTGAGGTGGTAATGCAGTAAATGTCGATGAACAAAAACAGGCACCGGAGGGTCTGTGTGAATGACTCTTGGCTCATCCTACGTCCATCTACGCCTGCCTCTTCTCACCGCATTGCCCTGGATTTTAAAAATTCAAACTTAAAATAGGAAATTTCTCTATTTTTTCCCCCTGAAGCTTGTCAATGATATAAATGTTAGATACATAGTTCAATTATATATTTTTTAAATTTCTCAGTAAGCTATTCTAAAATTAGCTTTCTAATTGTGCAAATTGCTTTTTCCCCTCAGCTCTGTGCCCTTTGCCATCTTTACTGCAGTCCTCTACTTCCCCCCCTCCTTCCCAGTTTTCCACTAGCAAACAAACCCAGCAGTAATTGCTAATGTCCAAGCACGTAATTCTGGCAGCATTAGGCTTTTCATTTGACGCAACTACGCAGAGAGCTGTCTGGACATGCAGCATGAAGTTAAAGCATTTTTAAAGATTCCTGCCCATATTTTCTTCTCTTCTCTCACCGCTAAAACACAGTTGTTTATTTATTTTGTCTGCAGATGCAGAGTTTTAAACTTCTTTTATACATTTACATACTCTTATATAAATGTCCACTCGAATAATTTTACATCCATGCACAATAACAGATCAACATATACATACATGGAAACACATGGTCATCCACAAAAAGAAAAAAACACTAGGAAATAATTGAATAGCTAGGAATGAAATCGCCTTCTGTATATGAACAGGGAACTTTAGTATCTGTAGTTTACGGAAGATTGGAGGTATGACTATCTAAACACAATCCAGGGTCTAATTTGGGGTCCTTTAAGGGGATCATTATAGCATTTCTTTAATGTGTTGTATAGATTCTTACATATGACGCTGTTACCCTCTTTTTGCTAACTACTCGAATGGCGTAATTTTGATACTGGTCATTTTATGCTAGTTTTATCTATATTAAACAGAGAGAAGTATCCCTGATGACTTTTGCTTTCTCAGATGCTCCAAGCCTCAGAATGGAAAATGGTTAAAGTAGTTATCACCACCTCAGCAAAATCCTGCAGTGCCATAAGAGAAATTGCAGTAGGTCTTTTAGGTCAGAGTTCAGTTCCAGTCTAACACCATGGTTCTTTACCTGCATTACCCTGAAGAACATAGTTGGATTCTCCTGAGGAAGACCAGGCTTAATGTTTTCAAAATCTGAAGCTATCAGCCTGCAATAACCAATGCTGATAGGAAATACTTCCAGTAACTCTGAAACCATGGCCAAAGAGGTTATACAGTATGGGACCTGTAATATTTATCAGATGTGTTTTTGTGGATGAATACTTGTGTTCATGCCTGATTGCAAGATGGGGGGAGAAGGAAAATAAACAGGGATTCATTTTTAAAGTTGATTCTGCTTAGTTCAGCTAATCTCAAATTGTTATCAAATGGAAACAGGTAGAGAGACGTATCCTCCCTATAAACAGATAGCATTGGCTTCTTCATATATACACTACTTATGCCCACCCAAGATCTGTAGACAGACCTACTCTGTGTTAAAAAACAAAACCCTTGATACCGTGCTAAAGGATAAATGCATATTTTTAAAAATGTATCTATTTTCTACCTAAAATAAGAGGCAGAAGGCAACACAGATTTCCACAAGTAGATTATTATTTTGTTGAAGCTATGAAGGTGAGGAGGGAAGCAGAAAATTGTCGGCAAAGGAGTCTCTGTGAGCAAGATTTATTTCTTTCTTGTTTTCTTTTAACCTACTATGACTGCTCTATTAAGAGTCTCCGTAAGACCGGGGTCTCAGAGAGACAATTTGGTCTCCAGCCCTGGCACATCCAGCCCTGGCCAGGCGTTTCTGCCGCAGGCAGATGCGGCGTTGCGGCCGGACCGCTGTCCCCGGTGCTGAAAGGTCGAGGGCGCCCGCGCGAGCCCTTGGTATTGCTATCCAGGGTGCTGAGCGCGGGCCGCCGCAGTCCCCGAGGCCAGCCCACCCGCGCCAGCCCTCCGCAGAGCCCTCCCACCCGGCACGACCCGCCCGCCCCCCGCCAGCCTGCAGTTGACGTGGAGCAGGCGGCATAAATCAAGTCCGCGGGGCATGGAGGCTGCTGTCGCTGCAGTAGCTCAGCTTGCCCGGGGCGGGAACTCCCCCTTCTCCTTTAGCCTCCCCAGCACCCACACCCTGTCTCCCCCTTAATTCTTCCCTGGATAATAGCACCCTAAAGACAACAGTCCTAATAATAGGGTTAGAACGACGTGGGGGGGGAACCCAACAGCCCTAAACATCTCTGAAAACTGCATGGCAAAATGGAAGAAAGAGGGGGTCCCACTACTGTTTCAAAAGAGTAAGTTATTCGGTACGTATCCTCGCTCTTCCTCCCTGTCGCTCCATTTGCAGGGCTCCCGTTTCCCCTTCCCCCGACAGCTCACCTCAAAAACACTTTATAAAGCCCCCACCAGACGTGCACACACGGAATACCGCACCCTAAGTGCACCAATACTTGTATTTACCCAAGCCCATTCGGACTGCCCAGCTGCTGTCCCTTCTGGGTATGCAGCCATCCCGAGCCAGAGCCACGACCTGGGGAGGGGGCTTCTTACCTGGGCTTCTCGGGTGGATGTGTTCTCCGGGCCTCTGCAGGTTGCAAGTGTGGAGGAGCCGCGGAGCAGGGAGGGAAGGAAAGACTGCGCCTGACCTCCCCGAGGTTTCGTCTTCAATGCAACGTGAGCTCTGCCCTCATCAAAGATGGCCGTCCGTCTTGACGTCAGCAGCTTTTAATAGCCGCCCGGCGAGGGGCGGGAGGAAGTGGGGGCGGGGCACCGGCGGGGGCGGGGGCGGGGCCCGAGCTGCGGCGCGCTTGACTCGGCTCCCCGTGCGCTGCCCTGCAAACAGCCGTGTTTTCGCCTTCTATAAACACCCGAACGGGGCGATTCTTGTGACTCCATTTTAACACTCAGTCTTGGGCAAATGCGTTCAACCCGCGACTGTATTGCTGATGTTCTCTGGTGTCTGTATGTGTACATATGCGTATGTGTATAAATGCATGTGTGTATATACTTTATAATACATGTATTATATGTATATATTTGTGTGTGTGTGTGCGCGTATGTGTATATATATATTTCCCCACATCCCACCCCGTTCAGTGGAATCTGTGGTTGAGTCATGTAAGGAGAAGGGAAGGTAGAGGAGGGGTAAAAGGTAGTGATGGGAGGAGTGGGGGGAAATTTTCAGCGGCGATTTGTTTCCTCCAAAGAGGGTCCGGAGGGGCATCCCCGTCCACCCTCGCCGGCTCCATATATGGCCAGGCTACGTGGGTTGCTATTTTTATGAGTGACTTCTTCATGTTACCGAAGCAGCGTCGAGGGCTTGCAGCTCCCTTTGCTGTGGTCAGCCGGGGAGCGAGGCTGGCGCACGTTATTTTGAAGTACGTCAGAGCCAGGCTCTCTGAGCTGTGGCAGGAGTCGGGGGAAGGAGAAGGAAAGCGGAGTTAGCCCAGCCAGCGTAGGTTTGCAAAGGCTGGGGGATACAAGTTGAGTTGTTTGCCTAGGGCAAAAACGGAGGACGCTGCTTTCGGTGGAATTTGCAGTCGGCACTCGGGTTGCGTGCTGGGTGTCTTAGGGGTACCCTACGGAGTCAGGGATGCCCCGAGGAAACCGTCCTAACCGCCGGGGGAGGTGGGGGCTTAGAAACAAGGACAGCTGGGACGCCGCCGAATCTGGTGGTTCACTGAGTACCTGTGCAGGCCTCCTCGGGGGCCCTTGGGTGCTCAGATCAGGGCGGGGAGACAAAGGCTACTTGTGCTGGTCATATTAGAGATTAAAAATGATAATGATAAAGCAACAATCCTAACTGTCCTTCCTGGCCGTGCACAGGTCTGGGGAGGGGGTGGTGCGCGGATAGCTCGGCGGTGGCCGCCTCCCGGATGATTCACAGATGTTGGGGAGGCTGTCGCCGGGCTCTCCACGGGTAGGGAGGGCTGGGGAGCGCGTGGGAGGTGGGGGACCTCGCCTGAGGAACTGTTTGTACTTTTCCGGGAAGGATGTGATTAGAAGTCGTGCCTCGCAATGTTAAAACTTGATGGCCTCTTTTAGGAGATGGAAAATCCTTGTCTCGCTTAGGAGAAACCATTCAGAGCTGGGTTTGGATAAACGGCGTGCAACCTCTCCCCCTGCACACACCTGCCCCACCAAACACACACACACACACAAACACACACACACACACACACACACACACACACATCCCACTGGCCTGAGAGCCAAGCTCAAGCAATAATACGGCCTTTGATTGCACTCTATTGCGGAGGGAGGGAAGCAGGGAGGGGGGAAAAGAAGAAGAGTTGTGAAGGCTCTGCGTTTAGAAAGAGTGGGGCTTTTAAGAATTTAATAAAGGATACCTTTAATTGAAATCAGTAGACATCATTGTTTCTTAAAGATTCTCTGGCCTGAAAAGTTTTTTTTTTGACATATTAATGTTTGCCATAATAATTAACAGTGTTTGGATGTTTATTAAAGCCATATTCCTAAAAAAAAAAAAGGCATGTTGCTGAAAGTTTTTTACTTAAATATTCATTAAACACTTAAGATTTCCATACAATAAAGAAGAAAATCTGCAAAGTCCTTAGATACTAATTGTCAAAAGTCTCCTGATTATGGCTCTTACTTTCATTATAAACCAAGCTGGAATAGGGGGAAAGTGGCAATGAAAGCAATGTACTGCAAAATCCTTTATAGTCAGATTTTTTTTCCCCAAAATGTGACACTTTAAAAAAAGGCAGCATGCAGAAGTTTGAAGAGAAAAAAACAACCTGCAGAGAGAGAAACAAAATATCTGTATGGCCCTCAGACTAGAAATCATTCAGGCAGAAAGTTTTGTGAAGGAATGGAGGAGGTGGGGGATTTTCCAGGTTTAAAAAAAAAAAAAAAGTTAAAAAGCAAGTATGTCAGTGATGGAGGCTTCTCCTGCAGGCAAAAGCTATGTGGAAGTCACAGGGAAGGACGGGCTTGGTTTCTGAGTTTTCAACTGCTGATGCCCCACACTGACATCTTTTAAAATGACAGATAGGAAGAGAGAGGTAGACTGTTTCGAGGCAGACTCTTTCAAGGCATTACAGAAAATACCATGGACCCTACAGGATTAGCTGGTGGCGGTGACAGCATTTTCTGTCGCTAGTGCTTGTTTTGAAAATGATGCTGTTTGAGAGGTTCTTCATCTTGCTCTGGGAAAGGTAAAAAAGTCTAATTTGGAAACATAAACATTGGGTACATAAAAGTTTGCTAAGGATAACCAGATAACCCTAAATGTATTTTGGATATGATAATGAGATTTTTTCCCCCCTAGGATTTTCTCATGGCATGATTAAAACAAAACAAAAACAAACAAGAAAACATCATCATTTTGCCAGTAGGGAACCAACAGATTCATGTTACTCAGGGTTTGCAAAGGCCTGAACCATACAGGGAAGGAACCATTGCTCCAAGATGGTTCAGCTGCCGTGGGTTATTTCTACAAAGGACCAACACAGAGTATCTAATCGTTAGGATGAGTAATGAGAAAATTACTTGCTTGGCTAGATGGATATTTACACTATGATAATTCAAGCCTCTGAAAGCTTTTTTGGTACATTATGCCCTGAAGTATTCTGGTTTGCAGTAGCTGTAGGTCCAAGGTATTTAGCTTGTATCTCAAAGGTAAGGTGCAACATTCATTGTTGACTCAATAATTACAATTTCATAAGGAATAATAATAAAAACTTGTCTAAAATCCCATGTGATCTTTCCAAAGTCAACTTGAAAATAGTTTAGAGATGGCCCAGCTTAGAAGCCCCCTCTCTAGGGTCCTCCTCTGGGAAATGCCAGGCACTCTATGACAATGTTTTCAAAACACTGTGAGGGCTCAAGAATATTCAGTTTGGGTGCAAGAATATTCAATTTGATATATCAACTGTTTTGATTCCTTGTTTGCTTTCTACATGGTTTGCTTGCCACTTTCTCTTCATATATTCTTCTAGCCCTTCACCCAGTTCCCCACCCCATTTATATATAGTGAAGTGCCTTAAAATGCCTAGAATAGTTTAGCTCTGGGTTTAAACTATCCAGGCTGTCCTTGTTCCCTGAAGCCTCTAAGGTGGATATATATTTGTGAGAGGTAAAAAGAGAACCAGAAATATTAGTTACAGTTTTTGTATTGCTGTGTTAAGAAAAAATATGACTGTGCACCCAGAATGTTAAATAACATTTATTCTTTACTACAGACAGTATTGTGGGAAGGAAGAAGGGGACTGCCCAGCAGCGAGAGGCTGGATGTTTCCACACTTTCATTCCTTGATGCAGCAAAATTACAGCCTTTCTTTTACAATGCATCCTGGGATCCTCCACAATGCTGATACATGCCTGTGGTCAAGTAGAAAGGAAGTACCTGTGACAATCAGGAACAGAGAAGCAGAGAAAATGGTAGTCCAAATTAATACATTTCAAAAAGGCTATTTGATAGGGTATCGCAGTATTCTTTGAGTAAATCTTTTAGGAATCATATTCATTCTGTAACCTCTTTGTATCTCAGTTATCTCTTAGGTAAAATGGAGACAATAATTATACCTAATTGACAAGGAAATTATGAAGCACGAAGTATCATATGAAGTATTGGCTAAATACAATAAGTCTATCATTTTGATGAGACTTTATTTCTCTAAGAAATGACATGTAACTTGGCTTTAATATGGAGGATTGCCTTTTTTCATTAGCTGTTAACTAGATATGTGTCAACATTCTGGGCCTTGGTTTTTCCATCTGTATGAACTTATTCATTTACTCAGTATTGAACATCTGCCATATGCTTGTCACTGGGGTCTCGGAAAAATTGAGTAGGGCATTGAGGGTTAGAGGGGTTAAATTACCTGGCCAAGGCCACAGCTAAGAAATGGTATAGCTTACTGTTGAACCCTGGGGCCCAAGCTCATAATTACTCTGTTTTAGTACAGCCTCTTCCAGCTCCATCAGACTCTCTTTTGCCCTCTGCAGCTACCTTCTCTGCCTCAAGACATTGTGGCTTGTGTATGCCTTTTCTCATTAGGGGCTTCAGGGTTTCATTTGATAGAGGGATGAGTATGATTTTCAGCTTTGGTTGGGTGAATAACAAGGTTTCGCTGGGGCTAATTTCAAGAAAGAGATCTAGGCTGTTAACCTGTGGTAAACAGAAACAACACATTCTAAGGACGGGAGTTCAAATTACAGTCAAGGAGGGAATTCAGAGATCAATATCCAATAAACTGCTTAAATAAGAATCGGGGCAGAACATGCTTCCAAAATATACCTAAGCGAGTCAGCCAGAGGTCAGAACACAATGGCAATGTGG